GAGCCGCGGTCCACAGAGCTGGGCTTGTGCTCGGGCAAGACTGGTAGAGCTCCCGCCCTGTGCAGAACGGCCTCCGGGGGCTTTGCAGAGAAAACCGGCTACAGCCTGGGAAGGAGTGCGGACGCCCCAGCTTGCCTTCTGGGCACAGGCAGGTGTGACTTGGCCAGTAGGTCACGCTACAAGTTGGAAGCCCTTCACTCTGACAGCGTGTCCCACTGTCATCTCGGAGACATTCCACAGCTCACAGAGACAAGAACATCTTGTCATGATTCAAGTTCCTTCTTCTCAAGTTTATTTATTTCTTGAGGGCCAGAAAGAGAGAAGGGCATCTTCAGGCCTCTCGCAGCACAGCCCACCCCAATCCCAGCGGCCTGGGCATCCGGTGCTCTGGCGGGCCGGCTGTGAGCCCAGGACTGCCCCCACATGGGTCTGGTTGTTATCACTGTGCCACCGCCTGGCCTGTCACGATTCACATCCGTGGGACCTCTGCCATGACAGCAAGCTGCTGATCGCGTGCCCTCTCGGACGTGGGTACTCCCACTTACTGAGTGGCCGGAGGAAAGTTTGGCGTCGGGGCGAGAAACAGCTTTGGTAAACGGCCCCTTTTGCATTTATCCTCTGTGGATGTTGAGAACCTCTGCTCTCTCGCTGTTGACCCTCTAGGCTGTAATAAAGTGGGGCCGGCCGGTGTGAGGCCCTGAAGCCTTCCAGCTGTGGGGAGGCCTGAGGAGGCGGAGGCCCCAGGAAAGGAGCAGGGCAAGGGACCAGGGCCAGAGCAGCAAGCTGGAGGGGGGAAGAGCCGTGCTCTGTCCAAGCAGGGGCAGGCACGCGGGGAGTGGGCACGGCAGGCCAGAAGTGAAACTGTCCAGGGGAGACCAGGGAGAGCCAGAGGGAGGAAGTGGCAGGGGTGCTGCTCACTGTCCTTCACACTGTGGTGATCCAGCCAGCCTGGCAGCAGCCCTTTTATGAAAATGACAGCGTCACCACCCCAGCTAGCGTCTTGGAAATGCGTGACGCATTACTACATGTGACAGAGACAGAGAGAGGGACAGGACCCCCTCATGGGCTTGACATCATGATCCCCCTGGCCCCAGCCAGACTCAGATCATGGACATGCACACGCCCAGGGTACTTGGGAGGTCTCTGGACACAACCCAGAACCTTCCAGGTGGGTGGGCCCCTGGGGCAGCATGTTCACCTGCTATGCCCTGTCCAGCTGTGCATTGCCATCGGGAAAGTCATGATGCATTTTGCATAGAAAAACAGAAAAATATGCCATGGCTTTCCTGACGACCCAGTGTTTTAAAAAGGATTTGAACAGTTAAAAATAAAATACATGCGTATGTATGTATGTGTGTACATGTATATGTGTATATACCTATGTGTGTATGTGTGTATACCTATGTGTGTATGTGTGTATGCCTATGTGTTTATGTATGTGTATACCTATGTGCGTGTATATATGTGTATGTGTGTATACCTGTGTGTGTATCTGTATACCTATGTGTGTATACTTACGTGTGTATGTATGTGTATACCTATGTGTGTATATATGTGTGTGTACACCTATGTGTGTATGTGTGTGTATACTTATGTGTGTATGTATGTGTATACCTATGTGCGTGTATATATGTGTATGTGTGTATACCTGTGTGTGTATCTGTATACCTATGTGTGTGTATACTTATGTGTGTGTATGTGTATACCTATGTGCGTGTATATATGTGTATGTGTGTATACCTGTGTGTGTATCTGTATACCTATGTGTGTGTGTATGTGTATACCTATGTGCGTGTATATATGTGTATGTGTGTATACCTGTGTGTGTATCTGTATACCTATGTGTGTGTATACTTACGTGTGTATGTATGTGTATACCTATGTGCGTGTATATATGTGTATGTATGTACACCTATGTGTGTATATGTGTGTGTACCTGTGTGAGTATGTGTGTACCTGTGTGTGTGCGTGTATACAGGTGTATAAATCCTAGTCAGACAGGCTGGGAGGGTGCATATTCAGAGGCCCTGGCATGCGCCATTCTGGGCCTGCTTTCTGGCACTTTACCGTCTGTGAGGGACAGCTCCCCGCATTCGATGGATGAGGAAAAGGAGCCTAGCAAAACCAGGCTGTTTCCTGGAAGCTGAGAACGTGGGTGAGCCCAGATTCAGGTCTCAATCACACTGACTACAAACCTGGTATCTTCCTCTGCTTCCAAAGCGGGCATAACCCACACAAGCAAAAACAAAGGGTGACTAAGTCTGTTCACAGGGTGAGCTAGCTCAGGTTGCAGCCAGATCGCACTGGCTGACCGCGGTTTGAATCCTGGCCCCTGTAGCTTGAAAGACATGCAGGGCATATGTGTGTGCAGGCCCCAAATCTCCATAGGAAAGAGAAATGGAGGGAAAAGGATCGCAGTGTGACCACGCCCCACTGGGAGCTCGCTCTCTCGCTCTCTCTCTGATTCTCTTCTGGCAATTAAGGAAAAAAAGTTTAAAAATGAAAATGTTTCTCTTTGATGCTGAATTCAAGACAGTGGAGCAAACATAAAGTAGCCAATTTTGTTAGCAAGAATTTTACAGAAAACACAGCAGCAGCAGTAGCTGTTGGTGTAGCGTCCCTTGATTTGACCCGAGAGGAGGGAGAACCTGTGTGTGTGTGTGTGTGTGTGTGCGTGCGCGTGCGTGGCCATCTGCATCTCTCTCTACAGAGAGGACTGAGCCAAGCGAATGTGGCCAGAGCATGAGGCTTTACGGCCACGCCTGAAGGCATTAGGGAGGTGTGCAGCAGCACCTGCTGGGGCCCTTCGCATGTCACTTCTCCGGGCCTGGCTATTATTAGAACAGGTTCCCCCAATCTGGGGTTATACCATCCGATAGCCTGCGCCGCTGGCATTTCAACTTGTTGATTAAGGGGAAATGAATATGCCCAGTGTTTAACTAATAGGGTTTATATTTTGGTGTAAAAATTGAGAAACACGATCCCTCTTTTCATCTGGGTAGCCAGCCAGCCAACTTGCACCCAGGAAGCTAGTGACACGGGGTTGGGATCCCCTAGGAGAGCCCGCAGAGAAGAAGGGGCTGGGAAACACCAGGTTGGAGGAGAAGATCTGTCACCAAGCGGGGGCAAGGGCAGGGGCCCCGCAAGCTGGCTGCCAACCTGTGCAGACCCTGAGGCCGGCCCCAGCCCTCCCCTGCCACCCCCACTCTGTAAGGTTCTTTTCAGCAGCACAGATGAGAACTGCAGTGTGTGTTAACTGTGCTTTGGGGCTGTTTACGAGGGTGTGAGTAGATCAGCCAGGGGCCTGGTGGTTAAGGTGCTGAGTCTCACGTGGCTAACGACACAGTTCAAGTTCCACACCAGGCAGCTTAAAAAACACTCCAGTGTGTATATGTGTGTGTGCCCAAGATTCCAAGAGGAAGATAGAGGAGAAGGGACTGGGGGGCGGACATCCCCCTGGGAGTGCTTTTTCTCTTCCTGTGTCTCTTGTGAGCTCACTCACCCTATAGCAGAAAATAAAAGAAAAAGGCATGAGTTCCTTTGTAACATTTATTGAGCTCCTTGTAATATTCATTGGGGGATAATATGTAGCTATTCTTTGGGAAATCCAAGTGAACCTTGAACTTCATAGGAAAACACACACTGAGCAAAAACCACGTTGGCTAGGTGCCATTGCTGTCGCTGCCGAGGTAGACATTGTGTTCGGAGAGCCTGAGTTTATCACCACGGTGTCCAACAGTCACCTGGGCTCTCCCATGCAAGGCGAGGAGACCGGGTTTCTGGTCTCCCAGTTTCGGCAGGGCCTTCAGCAATACCTAACACAGCGATGTTTTTTCAGATGAACGAACAGCTCAGTCTCACAAAGTTAGGAGAAACTTGCAAAGCTAACTAACGTGTCGATGTATAGTAGCGTTGTTTTAAACACTTCGCTCATGTCCTAATGCTCATTCCGTGTGGCGGATTTCCTGGTGTTCTGTGTGGATCTGCATGAGTCAGAACGGCAGGGCCTCTTTCTGCATCATCTGTGAATTTGGCAGCTGACTTTCTGATGAAGTGTTAAACTTACTGGTTCAGCTTTTATTATTATGCAAAGAAGTGCTGAGTTAAAGATGGAGAAGTGCTTTTCTCATGAATGGGGAAGGTTACACACCTCCGTGTTGGGGTGATAGGGTTCTGCCGAGTTTCACCAATAAATCTGAAGTGGAATGCAAAATAAATGATGAAATTACAGATTCCTTCACTGGGCCTTCAGTTCATATTTAACCAGTGTTCACTCCCCCCATGGCTTTTATTCATATTTCTAGTTACTTATAGAACCTTTGTTTCTGGTATTTCTGCTTCTTTAATTGAGCTTTACATTTATTTCTCTTTTGTCTTTCTCCATAGATCTATCAGGTTCAAAAGGTAGGCTCTCCCTCCTTTATTTTCTGATTTGCATGTGCTGTTTTCCCTTGCCTTGGGCCTGGTCACCTTTCAGAAATAATGCCTACAAGTTCTTACCACGTCTTCACGGACTTGAACGAGAATGCTCAGGTCCCTCGCCTGCCCTCACGCAGAACAACAGTTAGGGAGTTCCTGAGGGCTGTTTTTGCCAGTTCCATTTTCCTGAAGAAATGAGAAATGTTTTTCTTTGAGGGAAAAATAAAAAGCAAGGTCTAAGACAGAGTAAAATCACATTTTAGATTTGGGATAACCTTTCAACGATCTATATTGAAAGCAAAAGATTATCTTTCTAGTTGATTTTATTAGCTAAAAAACAAGGAAAATTCTCACACATTAAGAGATTATTCTAATAGTTACCAACTTTTTAAAGCTGAGTAAAAAAGACAAAGATGACATGACAGTAAAATCCACTAGCTTAAAGTAAACCTGCCCTGTACCCCAGGATTCCGCATGCCACAGACAGACGGGCACCCATGTCCTAGTACGAAGTAGCAGCTGAAATTTCCAGACAGACACACTGAGCAGGCCAGACTCAGCAGACAGACAGAAAGACGGCCTTGTCAGTGAGTCCCCAGTCGGCAGCCGGGTCCCCGAGGGTTGGTAGGGTTCCTATACAGTGGGCTTTTACCATGACTCACTTGAGTTTCTTACTTACAACATCCGTAATAGTTTTTCTTTACAACTTTATTTAGTTTCTAGATAAAGAACAGCCATCACGTTTCTCTCCCAGAGCAGCTCAGAGAACCAGGATAAGATGCGAACTCCAGAGGCTTGTGCAAACCCCCAGGCACAGTCAGCAACTTCAGGGTGTGGGTGGGACCCCTGTGGGAGCCGCGGCCACCCTGCCTCCCCCACCCTCTGCCCTGCCGGACTGCCGCCTTGCAGGGCACGAGGGCAGCAG